AAAAAAAACATGAACGATGGTCTTGAGCGATGGAACGTTGAGAAAGTAGAAAACTGGCTTTACGAATAAAAATCTAGAAACATATTTAAACATTTATCAAGTAACTTTGAAAAGTTCCTCCCCAATGTAAATATAAGTATGTTTGCTGTGCAGTTCTCCAACAACATGTTCATAATAACTGTTTTCCTCGACATTCAGAGAGCACGTTCTTTTGCTCGCATTATGTTATTTTGATATACACAAACATACCTTAGATACGTGCTACGTGTGCACGCGAGCCAAACTAGTATTGCTGCTCGCAGAAAAGTGTTTTAAACGAGTTTAAGTTAATATATTACTGGCAAACGGAAATACTGTCACCCAGAAACCGATTAAGTATACATCGAAGTCAATCGTACCAACTGGCTTTCCACTCAAGAATCTTTGATTTGTAATGGCCCCCTTTCTTTTCGTATCAACGATAATTTTACATCTACCGGGTCGAATGAGCCATCTCAATCGCTTTTCCTGCGAAACGCATATCCTCGAAAGACGTCGCCGACGAGTCGACTGTTATTATTTTTAGTAACGAAAAAAAAACGGTTCAAAACAATTTGCCATTGCGATCAATGAACACCTAATAGGCACACTGGTGGATCTATCACTTGTCACACGTATGTATTAAAAATACATCATATCCGTTAACCCCTTGCCATACCATTTAACCGGGCAAAATCCGTGCCATAATTATAGCGACCGATATTTCACTCGTGTTGTCACCTCGAGTCACACTCGTGATATTTATGTCTGGTCCAAAATTTTTATCAGGAGCCAAGCTCGTTAAAGTACGGCAAGGGGTTAATTAACACGTTGAATGCCACACGATTTGATAGGGCAAAATATACAAAATGAGAAAAACGTAATATTAAATCGTTTGATTGAATTGCATTCTTACTATTACATATTCATTGAGCTGAATGTCATCACATTAAGTTGCATTATTTGTAATATAGAAATGTTTCTAAATAATCAGCGTTTAATTGAATGAACTATAGTGATTCGATTTGGTTATGGGTCACCGGTGACACCCACGGCATTCAACTTGTTAATGAATTCATTGGAATACAATATTTACATAATATATTTTCAATAATAATTTAACCGTTGACATTATTCATTGCACCCTCAGAATGAATTTCTCCTGTTGAATGTCCTAAAGAATATTTCGAGATAAATTAATTTTGCATTATATAAAGGTTTTAATGCATTTTTTATTATCAATGTTTACCACGCCGTAAGACATTTCCAAAATTGGAAAAACATTATGAATTTAATTCGTCTTACTGTATACATTTTTTAAATTTCAAATGTAATGGCATATGCATGTTATACAATGTAAAATGTTTTGCCAATATTCTCGATAGCATTCGTATTTTTTATGTCAATATATTTTAACTGCTGAAACGAAAATACTAAATTAATTAATAAGAGAATGCTAGAGAATTAAATACAATACAAATTCGGATTATTAAAATTATATAATTGAAGATAAAGTTACGTAATACAGAAAAAATTATGTCGCAATCACGAATTTATGATAAAACTTTATTAATGAATATTAAAATAATAATATGATATTTGTATTGGAATTACTTATTTAAGAAAGTGGTACAACACAATGTTTCCGTAGTGTAGTGGTTATCACATCCGCCTAACACGCGGAAGGCCCCCGGTTCGATCCCGGGCGGAAACAGTTTTTGCATTCACTTTATAATTAAACAATATTTTTCCCTTCATCAATAATATTTTACTTCCATTACATTTATTTAAAATTATCAAATAATTCTAAAAAAAATATATATTTATCAAGAAAAATACGCGATTACCTTGAAGTATTCACTCTAGAATCTCTACTTTCTTTACGATTCTAAAGGAAAGTTCTCGTTTGTTCACAACAGATTCATTTAATCACACTTTACATCCACTATAAATACTATAAAAAGCAATTTCAATTTCATGTTCAATGAATTTAACAGGTTGAACGCCGCACGATTTCATAGAACAAAATACACAAAATGGAAAAAATACAATATTAAATCATTTCATTGAATTGCACTATTATCGTTGCATGTTCATCTAGCTGAATGTCACCGCATTAGGCAGTGTTATTTATAATATAGAAATATTTTTAAATAATCATTGTTTAATTGAATGAACTATAGTAATTCGATTTGGTTGGTGGTCATCGGTGACCCTCATAGCATTCAACGTGTTAAAGAACCCGCCTGGTAAAAAGGCATTAAACATTTGAAGTAAATAATCCCCGCGACACAAATACTTCAGTGAATCACAACAACTCGAAAGTACCTCGCACCTGGGAAAATGTCGCATCGCGACGCTGACGGGGCGTACCAATATGACCGGATCTCTAGCGATCACGTTGGAACTTGATTTAGACGAGTTTCGTATTTTACGTAACTTTCACCGGCTGCAAGGTAGAGGTGAGAATGCGCCGAGTATTCTTAGACGTTCGGAAACCGAGCGCGGTCCAAGAAATGTCACAGACAAGCGAGGTGCCCATGGCAAAGTCAGTATTTTTCACGGAATGGTCGGAACACGGTCAATCAACAGCCGCTGACAGAGGGACGGTCGGACACTCCACGTCCGTCGCAGTAAATTTAGCTACCATTACGCCTGGTTTCACGAAAGTATGCTCCTCCGGCGACAGAAATGGAAAAGAAAGGGAAAAATCGAGTCCGGGGCTAGCGAACTGCTGCCTGACGACCGGTAGAGCAGTCGCACGAGGAAAGTAAACATGTAATCCCGGATAAACAGATAAGGATGAATAATGAAGCCCGAGACCATCGTTGACAATAGAACCGAGTTTTCGTTATGAAATATCATCGAGGATTGATACACACTACGGTCTGATAAAATCGTGATCGATTATCAACGAAATCGTTTTGTGGCGAAATAGTTTTTCTACATTTCAGGCTATGATAGCAAGAAATCGTTGCGTGAGGAATAAATTGCTTACTACGCGTCACGTGGAACTGCGCGGGAAAGATGTTCATTATTTACAGTTTATTTGCGTCGTTCGAATGGGAATTACAGACGGATTTAACGGCGGCAACAGTGAAAGTAGTTTCGGTATACGTGTAGTTTACCGGTTGTTCCCAGTTTTGATTATTTATTTACAGTTCCGTTTGTGAAGCCTCGGTTTATCGCAAAAATCAGGGTTAAGTTTTGAGTAGGTCAAGATTAGGTCTGGATCGGATGAATATCAGAAACTGAGAAAGCTGCTAAACTGCAAAGTTATTGTTTAATCCTTTGCACTCGGAAGTTTCTCACTAGAAATATTTAACATTTTTTGACGAGATAACAATGACATTCTTTGAAGCTAACTCGAAGGGAAATTAGAAGTATATTGAGGGACAAAGATATTTATTCCAATATTTCACGTATCGAGGCATTATAGAAAGTTCAACATTAAATATCAGATTTTATAGTTTTACTGCGTCAAATCAAGTGGTGACTGAGAGTCACCTCCTGAGTGCAAAGGGTTAACACGTTGAATGCCGTACAATTTCATAGAGCAAACTACTTAAAACGGAAAAAATATAATATTAAATCATTTGATTGAATTGTAATATTATTATTGCGTGTTCATCTAGCTGAATGTGACGTGTTAAATTTGAATCATAATTTATTTAATTCTCTATGCTGGATGATTGTACAATTTAAAAATGTAGTACTGAAACCATATTTAAAATTTGATGCGGTTTGTTACGCCGTGTCCTATATGCGTTCGTGTCCGGAGTGACTGCTAGCCCACCGCTAAATAATGCCAACGACTTCTCGATCTACTTACTGCAGGCTTTTTGCCAATGGCGCTCGCATCGCTGTAGGACGTAACCTTCATGTAAGGACTTGAAGCGGATATCGGCACGGTGATCATTTTTCCACCCTTCGAATTTTCCTCTCTCTCCCATCGGCACCGGGAAAATCGGATGCACAACCTCTACACGATTCTCGCGGGGTCTTCTGCTCTCGGCCAATCGGGATCTGGCAAGTTTTCATGGACACATCCGTCGCCGCGACTTTTCTAGGAAGATGGGCCTCCGAGATGACGAGAAAGCCACTTCAATGACAAGTTCTCAAGTTTCACAATTAACCGTCACTATGCACCAGATGCACTCGCGATGTTCGATTTCTTATTTAATGATCCCTATTGCTTCCAGCTAATGTTTGACATCTGGTAAACGGAAACTTTATATGTGCTTGTAAATTATACAAACAAGTCGAAGAAATATTTATCTATAATTGTTTATACCTTTTACTATCCAGTTTCGAAATTATCATTGTTCGTATGTATCTATGATAATGTATTGTACTCGTAAAAGGTATACAAACAAATTTTATCGAGATCACGATAAGACTTGGTCAAATATATTTCTGTCGAGAACAACACCCGGAAACCGAGTAACTTTCACAGACGAGGTCGTACCGAGTAACGGACGAAAACGTCCCGCGAGCTACTCAACACCCTGACAGCAAGTCAGAAATAATTTATTTTCGAGCGAACTTGGGACTACCTTCAAGGCTGTCCACAATAGTTGACCCTATTCCGCTTATGCAGCAAGAACGAATCTCTTCAGTATTCAACGAAGATACAAGAGCATCGATTGCTCGGCTGACTTATGTATCGATGATCCAGACAACTTTCCTGATTGACTCTTCATAAATCGATTCTTTTACCGTTGATCACGGTTCGGTTTCAAAACTGCTGCTGCGTAGCCAATGGCGCGCGGTATGTCCATTCCCACGATTCAAAATCGTGCTTCGATTTCACGGGAATAATCGTCTCCGTATGAGAGCGATTATTTTCAATTCCTTCACTCGATGGAACGCCTTTTATGAATGTCACTTGTCGTTAACCAAAAGTTTCAATCTGTTCTGTCAGAGAAATACAACGATAATGTGCATACACCGTACAAGACGTGCGTTGTTTCGGGAGTTGGGAAAGAAGCGTTGTTTTCAACGCGGCGTAGGCCCGCAACGCAACACCTTTACCGACGGACGAACAAACATCGACTGACGAGCGTGTGGTGCGCCTCGACGGTCGAGGAGACGAATGGACCTCTCTCGATTGGCTGTCGCGTGCTTCCAGGTAACGCTAGTCCGGCCGGATTATTCGCATCGGAATTGCGGTAGAAGGGCGAACCAAGTGTTATCGAACTGCGACTTCTGTCGCCAGACATTCTGTATTCTTATCGATGTATCGGCCTAACACCGATTATTGCCCGTTCCATTGTTTTTCTCACCGATCTATATGTAATTCGGTTTTGAATATAAAATAATTGAAAGTCTATTTGAAAATTCCAATACCGCGGTGATAGACAGGCACAGGGTTTTTTATCTGGATACTTAAAATAATTTGATCGAACTAACGGCTGAGTTCGTTTGCTAACCTATTGACGTCAACACTAATTTCTTATCCCTCTTTTATTATCGATGAGTCAATTACCGGGAGCTTATGGAGAACCGCGCAATTATCTCTATGCCATCAAAAACACGTGAAGTCAAATATTAGGTTACAGCCATTGTTACGGCGAATTAGGCGGGAAGATCGCTTCGAAGAGTCGCTTTCGTTTAACACGTAATCGCGAAAGACGATACGGTTTTCTTACAAGGCGGCCATGTTGGTATTTTTGAAAGGCCAATTATCTAACCTCATTTTCAATTCCAACGCGAAACTTAATACAACGTGCAGCATTTATTTAATTGTAGATTATTATGCAGCCATCCAACGCGCGATAATTTAAGAATAACTCGAGCATTAGTTTTAATCTTGAGATTTAATCTAATTGAATAAAAGGCGATGCGTAACATCAGCTTAAGGATTAGCGATACCAGCTGAAGGTTAAGCAGCGGAGAAGGCAGTCGGAATACGAAAGTTGTTTAATAATTTATACTGGCAGTGGTTTAACGATTTGTGAAACAAACACAATTCTGTTTGCCGAACAATGGGCGTATCCGCTTTGAGTGGTGAAAATTATTCATTCAGTGAGTAACGACGGTACAATTACGATTTCGTACAACGCAATAAATATGCATAAGCACGATTTTCATACAATAAGTCGCGGTAAAACTTTTCGCTTCTGGTTTCGTCTCGAGAAATTTATGCAAGCGTTTCCTTTATCCATTTCCATAGCGCTCATGGTCCTAGGAAGTATTCGCCAATTTAAAGATAATTTCCAAAGTAGTTGCTAAATAGTTACGGGCACTTCATTATTTCAAATTGTCATCAGTGTATTTATACAATCGCATGTATCCTTGAATGAAATGATTCATTTATTATTTTCGGTCCCCGAGGAATTCCTCCGTTAAATTTTTACACGCAGGAAATAATATTTCTATTTCCACGATAAATGGTCACGCGGCAACCAATGCCAAGCCAAACACACGTCCGAGTTGCCGACCGTTATCTCCCGGCTACGGATGCTTAATCATTTACAGTACACCCAAAAATAAAAACAGCAATAAGTTTCGATGAAATCTCTATTTTATTTTAATGACTAATAAAACTCCTAACAGAGGGGAACGTTGTACACCAGACCATAAAAACACGAATCTGCATAAACGTCCGCAGTCGAAACGCTGATCATTTAGTTCTTGCCGTTTGTCGATCGAAGTAGACTGAGCGGCAGCAACCATTTATACAGAATTTACAAACTAACAAACATGTTTCAAAATTAAATTCCGCATGTGTACAACATGGCAATTATCGAAATACTGTAATATTTACATGTTGTAATAGATTGATCATTCATGAATCTTTTAGTTTCTTTTTCCATGGATACCTAAAGTTGCAATAAGATAAAACCCAAATAAAAATGAAAGGAAAATGAAAAACAATAATATTTGGTTTACGGCCATCAGAAAACTCCGACCGTTTGTTTTCGCGCACCTCGACCGGTGTTCGCGGAGTCGTCGATAAAATGCGTCGAATATCTCGGTCACGTAGCGCAATAAACAATCACAGGCCGGTCGAATGATTATAAACATTCCTGCGAGGCAATTCCGATCCCGACTATCATACGATAACGCGTACTCTGACACGCGGGCAACTCATATACGTGACTCCGCCGGTTTTCGCCGGCAATTGTCAAACGGACAGCTCGCGTGCCTGCACACACTCCCCATTTTACAGCACTGCTACCTCGCCGGCATCTGCAAGTAAAATTAGGTCTTTCGATCTGACAGCTTTCGGTTGCACTGTCTGTGAAACTGATATACTAGTTTTCTTTAAATTCTGGGTACCTTTGAACCTTGGACAACTTCTTCTATTGAATTTATGGGCACAACCAATGGGGCTTCAGTGTGTTTCGATCGTATAAATAGTTTCCCTAGGTCTTCTTTAAATCAAGATTCTTCAAGTTCTAAGTTACCTTCACTCTTTGACAACTCCTGTCAAATTTATAGAGAACTACCGATGGGATTTTAACATATTTCAATTGCATAAGTCGTTCTATCTTCATCGTAGGTATCTACATTTAAAAACTGAATTCGAGAAGTCCAGCATAAAGTACTGATTATTTTCTCTGTGTAAACTCCGATCATTCGATGAATAGATCACAAATGGCGCCAGGCCTTAGGTGGCGTCGGAAAATCCGTTGCGCTGGTCCTCCCCGAATAAAACTTGCGCAACTTATCGCGTGGAACAACAAAGTCGGCTTTGGTGTACGGATTTATCGTTTACCGTATGTTTTCGTAAACATTGAAAATTACGTGTCGTAAAATCGTTTTTGGTACCGGTCGTGCCAAGAAACCGGAAAATCCTTCTGCCCCACCGCTCATCCTCAAAACTCTTCCACCATTTCGTCAACGACGATATTGTTTCGAGTTTCGTTCGTCTCCGATTGTTTGGCCTCGCCCGAGTATTATTAACCCTCGAACGATCGCGAATCTTAGGCTGATTAAAGTGGCTGTCGGTTGAGGACCGATGATGACGGAAGGAGATTGTTATTGCAAGTGAACACTGTTTGTACAAGCTGGCTCAGGGAAATGTTTGAAGTTAAGCTCAAGGGCAAGATTATATAGACACAAGAGAGCCATTTGACTTGATCAGATGTTAAGTGCTCGAGGGAGAGTCCCCATTTTTCTCGATTTTCTTCGCCGGTCTAATAGTTAAATTCCTAGGGACTAGCTCTAATAGATATTCATCTATCTTGTTTATTATCCAAGTACTAAAACGATAAGTTTCAATTAATTACTCGAATATACAAACACTATTCCTTAAGATTTATAAACTAACTCTGTTAAATGCGTTTTCGAATCGATCAAACCGCTAATGTGAACGGGCATCAGTGATAAACACTTAAGCACCCAACCAAACGCCGAACGTTTTACGGAATCATTCAGCAAAAATTCTGTTCGGATACGCTAAAAATAAGTCGATTTAAACAGTACGTACAATATTGCGGCGACTACATTAAATATAGTTTATATCATAGGTAAATTAAGGAAATCTTGCAGAAACAGGAATCTTTACATCGCTGGACTTTACAAAACAAATGCGTTAACCACGCGTGGGCTGTTGAAGTGTTAAAAAGATGAACATCCTCTAAACTGAACCTTCGACGAAACCGTTCGGACTGAATATTACAAGATTTACGCGGCAAGGTGTGCGGGGGACACCTGTAAATCATTTCGCTGCGTTCCCTGACCAACGGGAACGTGGGATTTGGCAAAAACACGGCACCACACGTCGATGAATGGATCTCGTCCCGTATTTTTAGACATGTTTGCCCGACGAACAATTCCGACGCCTTGGATTTTATCGACGAATTGATGTAAGAGGTGCCGCGCCGCATCAATTCAATCGAGACAAATATAGAGTTCCGTTGCATTCCGCGACTCTGCGGGTGTCAAGGATCGAACCGATCCGTTTAGACTTATTTATATCCCCCTGCGCTTATCAATTCTCGTTGAAACGGGCGTCAAACAATCCCGACACCGAGCCGGAACGGCGTTCTTCAAGATGGCAGCCGGCTAGATCAACTGATCCGCGAGAATATATTGACAGGAGCCTTGAATGATCGAAAATATTCACGAGCACTGGTGCCGGTCGCGTTTTTACGTAACGGCTAGCGTTTCTTCCTCGTCGATTCGAAATCCGCGGCACCGTTAAGTGACCCGAGGCGAAAATTTTCGCGATGCACTCGCCCGCTTTCGAACTCGTTTGCGCAACACCGCAGCCTATCCGGCTTCGAATTCCAAGCGGGCGGAGAATTATGGAGAAACTCCAAATGAAAGAGAAAATGACAATTTCTCTTGCGATTCGTGTGACGTTATGGAGAACGGAAATTCGAAGATTCGAAAATTCGTAACAACACAACGTGACTAATTAAAGTATGTCTTGGAAACCCAATTAAACGAACATTATGCGCAATATTAATCGTAAACTATCATACGAGTGAAAATAACCCGTTTCAGGTCTCTTTTACAATTAATAAAAAGGTATAGACAATTTCCTTAGAAATTACCAAATAAATTGATTCAGATAAATCCAAAGTGGAACATAACCGAAATGTAATCTCGATAAATGTATTAGTTCTAGAATTCAATATTGATATTTTCAATCGTCAACCTTAATTTAGCTTTCATCTCGGAAACAATAATCATGTTTCCTGGACGATCATGAAAGAAATTTGCATAGGCAATAGTAGCTCCTCCAAGATGGCGGATGAGAGAATCCTAAGTTCCTCCTGAATTTTCGTTACCTTATACAGTGGACGATCGAAGAAGAAAGGTTACTAAAGTGATATTTCTTTTGCAATTCCCTTGTAGCCCATAAAACCCGCCATTCTGAATCGAATGAGCTACTGGTATAGTCCGAACGCCCTGAAACGCAAAATTTCGAAGAGTAAGGGCAAGGAGAATTAAAGGCACAAACGAGTTCGTTTCATTTTTTTTAAGGGCAATTCAGGAAACGATCTCAGTGGCTCTCTCCATTTAGTTCCACTTAATTGGAGTTTAATGGGCGGCCCCGTTGGCCGTGAAAAACGTCTCCGGCTGCATCCATGCCGCCAGAAGATGTGAAGGAGGACCTTGGCGCAAGTACAACGGTGCACC